GAGTCTACCTGGACTCCAACTGAGGGTACCTACAAGGAAATGGAGAGATGTTTCAGACTCAGTATATAGTGCAGATGTGATGGTCAGAGGCACATATTGAGACTTTGGTGAACTAAGCCTTTGGGACCTCCCAGTCTTATTGTGTTTATATGGCTTGCACTGTTCACACTTTACTTTTAGGTTTCTCTTATGCTTACTGTAACTGACACCATCATTTGGACCTAACAATGTCAGTTACAAGATGAAGAACACATTCCTGTTCATCCAGAAATATAATTTATGCCATGTGCCAATAGTGTGTCTGCTGTGTATATTGGACAAACTTCTCAGACACTTCGCCAAAGAATTAATGCCCACAAATCAGACTATTTCACAAAGGAAAAATAGTTTCTTGTCATTTCAACCAGACTAGGCATTGTCTCAATAACCTCTCAGAGACTTTAACACCAGACTACGAATGACACTTCTAAGGTTTCCCTTTGTAAAGTGACAAATTTATGCATGAATGGGCCTTAACAAAGATGCTAACTACTTTACCCATTACAAAGATAGCTTCCCCAATTATCACCCCAATATCATTCTCCTAGAAACTAACTTCCCCCTCACCCTCCCTCTGTTCACATAAAACTGACAAATCAAATTTTAGATCACTTTTTTTGATTGCATCCCTTTGGTATATATGGTCATGCCAATTTTCTTCCACAATTTGATCTGAGGAAGTGAGTCTGGCCCACAAAAGCTCATCACCTAAAACCATCTTGTTAGTCTTTAAAGTGCTGCATAGTCCTGTCTTCTGGTTCAGTACTGGACTGTGTGGTTCAAACCTGGACATCTGGCAACCCTGCTCACTGCTGGCTTTGATACCAGCTGACATGGTGGTTTTGCTGTATATGAGCAACAGTAGATTCTAGGACTTACTTTTAGACTGCCATACTAACAGTTAATTTACCACAAACTTTTGCAGGGAACAAAGAACTGGAAATCCCTGTTCTCAGCTCTGCTCTGTGGCTTCTGGCCTTCAAGTCACTAACCTGTAGTGTCCTTGTAGGGACAATAAGCTATCTGCTTACTGCCTTGAGGTGTCTTGAGAGAGTGTCTGTAAATCATGAAATGTTATCTGTTGTATACAGGTGGGATATGGACAATGGGATCAAAGATGCAGAACAGAGGGAAGAACACAAGCTGGTGGGCAGGTGGATGACAGAATAGGGGATAAGATTCCAGGAATGAAAAGATGTTGCTGCTTATGTTCTGAACAAGTATTAGATATAAAAGCATGGGCTAGCAACCATTTATTATTTATTTTATTTATATATATCTGAGAAGAATCATGTGACCACAGGTATAGTGGGAAATAAGTGAAGGTCCAAATTGAGTGAATCCTTTCTGTTCAGTGAATCCTTTCTGTTCAGTTGCGTACCAGACGTTCTCTCTCTCTCTCTCCACGCTCAGGAGAGCATGGGGTGCTGTCTCTAGTACTGATGTTGTTACAGGTAACTCTGCATTATTCAGATTCTTCCAATCCCTCCAACTATAAAATCCAACTTGTCAAATGGGAACAGCCGTCCTCTTGATCTGAGTCTGGTGGAACTTTCAGAACAGCTGTGCTTTGACCGTCTGCCCCTTCAGAGGCCAATGGTAGTCCAAAGACCTGTGTCCCAAGCCTCTAAAATGAATCGAGTTACTCTGAGACTTCCCCAGGCTACTGTGGCCAGCCTCATGCATGATGGTGTCCACAGTGAATGGTCATTGGTAGGACAAAACGGGGAGGGATCTTTAAAGCTGGTCACTTAGGATATGTCTAAATAGCAGTGTTTCAGAATTACTGACGTTATTCCAAAATAACATGGTCTGTCGTCAATAACTGCTTGCAGTGTAATGTTGAGCTGATGTTGAGTTAGAGGACTTCTTACTCCAACTGCTGTAACCCTCATTTTATGAGTACAGGAAGTCAAAGGAAGAGTGTTCTTCCTTCTGTGTAGACAGCACAAAAAGCTGAAACTTCAATTGCATAGCTTAAGTTGTATAGCTTATTTTGGCTTTAGCCTTGCTGTATAGATGTGCCCATATTGACTGTAAAATAATGCTGCTGCTGCTCTTAAATAACTCTGCAGATAGTCAGGGCATCCTAAATCCAATTTAGTAATGGACATTGTGTAAGACCCTTAATGGGATGCAGAGTTTTGAAACCCCTCATGTGGCTTTCCTTTTTGAAAACCAGACTTGTTATGGAACAAAACTGCACAAAGCCAGGGTAGATGCCAGAATTCCTTAACTGATTATTAACACAACTTTAATCTGGTTCCATATGTGTCTCGAGTTATTTAATCATTTGAATGGACTTTAAACTCCGTCATGAAGGAAGGAGGGAAATCTAACCATTGACGGTGTATCAAACAAAATATCGCACGATACACTTAATGTAAATCCCTCCAATTTGCTGAAAGGCAGCTTGTGGTTCCTGACCTCTCTGAAAGAGGTGTTCATCTTAATTGATTTGGTGAGCAAAATTCCATCCCCAGTCCCACTTGAGTTTGAGCATTGTGTTCCTTGATCTTGTAAACTTTCTGGGCTAAGGTGCTGTATCTTCATATGCATTTTAATGTAGACCTTGACCTAAAGCAAATCTCTCTCTGAAGACAACTTACCTGTCTCAGGGCTCTTGAGAGTTGTGTTTGTAAAATCTCTCATGAAAAGTCCTAGAAATAATTAAAATACCAAAATCTCCTAGCCTTAACAGAGGCATATTCAATCAAGCCAAGCCATCTTTCCCTTGTTCTTTCTCTGATCCTTTCTTCATGTAATGCATACTTATAAAGAGGCACCAGATGTTGAACATTCTTGCATGAGCCCACCTGGTACCTAGACATGATCCCCATTTCTCCCTTTGATGGGACTTAAGTTACAGTCAGAGTCTTTGGTCACAAGACTGTGTGGTGCAAGTACTTCTCCAATTAGAAGAGCTAAAAATCTTATTGCTTTCTTCAGCACTTCTGCTGTCTGAGTCACATTGCTCCCTTAATAGACCCTTCCTCTTCCTTTTTGAAGGGAGATTAGCTAGTTCTAGGACAAAGAAGCTGAGTCTTACATCTCCTGCAGTATCTTTTTTTTTTCTTTTTTTTTTTTCTTTCTGCCATACTCAGCTTAGTGGCTTTAACACTTTGCAAAGAGGGGAAACTCCGAAGTTGATGCTCATTTCATGATGCTCTTGTGTCAATGGAACTTGACAGCTGTGGAACTGGAAACCACAAGCCATGTCATCTCTATACCAGATGAGTCTGACTGTCAACAAGCTGTAAGGATCTCTGTCCCCCTCAGTAGAGTCCAGTGTCTTTTCTCAATACGGGGGGTGAAAATAGCCTTCATCTATGCAGGGAGGGCTCCCTGGAAATGAGTGGGACTCGTGTAGATTAGTCTGCAGGATGAAGGGCTTTATTACCTCTGCTTTCTTCCTGCCTTGCCTTCCAGTATCCTCCCCTTTCTTACTGCTTGAATACTGACAGGTTAAAGGGAAGCATGTTGTAGCCATTTAAATTACTCTGCAGTTTACAGCAAAACTGAATCTCCTGTTGTCTGTGCCACCCATGTGCTTGCTTGACCACTCGGTTTGCTCCCAGTGCTCATGGTCTATGCTTTTAGTTCATATTCAGTCTCCCTCCCTCCTACCACAGCCATTTCTGCAAAGGTTTCCCAGTCCTCTCCAATCTGCTGTAGTAATCTGTGTTGTGACTCATCCCTTATGCACTTAAATGGCAAACTGTTCAAGGCAGAGTGCAGTTGGTGTGAGAAAATTAGTAAGAACAAGATTCTACCCTCCAGTGCTGACTTGTTCTAAGCCTCTGGCATGCCTGTGAAAAGGTGTGCTAAGAACACTGTGGCTGAGTCAGCATGCTCTTGCTAAACAGCTGGAGACGCCAGCTTATTCTATCAAGAGCCCACTGTATCTGCATGCATTAGAAGTGGTGGTACAGTGAAAACTAGTTCAAATACATAAGTAGGCCCTCCTAGGACACAGGGGATGTTCCACTTTGCACTATAAAACAGGTTGTCTGCATTTCTTTAACCTGCTCTACTTGGTCTTGTTAATCAAGGCTAGTTCTCAGTAATGCAGGCCTGGGCAAGATATGGCCCGTGGGCTGGATTCGGCCCGCGGATGCTGCAGGGAGCCCCAGGCAGGCTCCCCACTTGACTTGCCCCACCAGCACGCTGCTCAAACATGGCTCTGGGGTGGCTTTTCTTTCAACTAAGTTCGGAGAGGAGGGGAAAAAGGTTTAGGAGTTGCTTCTGCCCCCAGCACAATCCCCTTGGCCAGTTTGTGGCCAGAAACTGGCCAATGGGAGCTGCCTGTTTTAATAACAGACAACCCAGAAGCACAAGGGGCTCCAGAGCACATGGCTGCAGCCAATGTGAGGGCAGGGCATGCAGGGAGGCTGTGGATCCACTGCTGGCTGGTAAGTCTCCTGGCAGAGCCTGTCTCTGGCATCCCAGTCCTCCCTTCCCCAATACTCTGCCCCAGATCAGTCCCCTTCTGCCCTAGCTCACAACCCAAATCCCTGCACCCCCTTCTATACACCAATTCCCTGCCCTAGATCCCATCCAACCCCCTGCACGCAAGGCCAGTGCCCCAGGTCAACTGCCTCCTTCACCCAAACATGCTCGCAACCTCCGTCCCAGACTCTGCACCTCCTCCATTAATATGGAAGAATGTAGCCCTCAAACACTCTCCAAATTCTTGGAATGGCTCCCCATCAATGATTGCCCACTCTAGCACTAATGGAATTCATCAAAAGGCCAATTCACAAGAGGCTCTAACTGTGCAAAAAAAAAACCCCAGCCTATCAAGAGCCTTTTTCTAACTTAATCCTTAATATGACAAAGCTAAAGACCTCTGTTTTGTACACTTTAAAAGCTGCTTCATAAGAAACATGTTGTATCATTCACTATGTGGGGAGGAGGCAAGTGTAATGAAGCCTAGCCCAAGCATCTGCTTTTTCTTGCAGAATGTGAGGATCGATCCGAATAGCATCTCCTTCAGGATGTGGAAAGATATTCCTGTTCCCTTTTATCTATCAGCCTACTTCTTTGAGATAATGAATCCAGAAGAGATTCGTATGGGAGCCAAGCCAGTGGTGAATCAACGTGGCCCTTATGTTTACAGGTCTAGTATTGTTGTTGGCATAACCTGCATACACACTGAGCAGAATTGTAGGGGTCACTGTTCCGTGCTTATTCCTGGAGTTCTGCTCTAATGCGGTGAAGGTTTATGTGGGTCCTTCCCTGCAGATCTGGGGAAAGGAAGAATAGCCCATGCTAGGGCTTCTGATCCCAGACCAGGCAAGACTAGGAATAATTTTTAAGTCTTCATTAGATCCTCCAGCTTCTGGCTAGGTCAGTCAAACCAAGCTTGCTCAGGTGATCAAGGTTGTAAGCAGGATGGAGCAAACAAAGGTGCAGGTCCAGATAGGAGGCATAGGAAAAAAATGCAGAGTAAAAACTGAGGCTGAAAACACTACTCATTTTTTGTTTTTAAAAAAACAAACTCCAGCTGTAATATTTCAAACCAATATTTTTGGTTACCAAATTGAGGGGCATCCCATCTAGGAACACATTTAATGAGCCTGACTTTCAGAAAGTATGGAGCACTTGTCCCCTCCAAAATCAGGCCTTTTAAAGGGAACAGAAGTGTTAAGGGGATATAGGCAAAAATGAATAACCCTTCAGAAAATCTTGGCTTCAGTGCATTTTAACTCATTAGACCATATGTTCTCCATTTATAACTACAATCTTATCAGAGATCGGTGGCACAAACTTGTACCCAAAGTCAATTCAGTATGTGTTGAAAGCTTTTGTGAACAGATTAGTACCCTTTATCCAAAAGCATCTCTTTGATTGGGTAGGATTTGGGATCCTGACTGTACACCAGTATAGCTGCCATCAGAACTGGCAAGTCAGCATTCTGCTAAAGCCATGTTGACTTCCTGTAGGTTGAGACACCTTAACATGCTTTCGGTTTTGAATGGGTTTATTATTACGAGTCTCCAAAATAAAGGCAAAGCAGCTTAATATAAATGTCTGCTTCCTAGCTGCTTAAGATTACTTAAAGCAAACAGACTCTTGTCTTTCCTCTGCTGTAATTATTGGGCCTCTGCTCTTACCTGACCCAAACAATACAAGGCTTTATGTTGGGCTGCCACTGATTCAAAGCTGTGTAATTGGGCAGTTCTCCAGAATTCCACAATGTGCACACTTTGTTATCCAAAGGGAAAACTTCAAGCTTGGCTGAGCAATCCAATGCACTGTACTTGACACAAGTCTTGAATCTCCAGTTGTACCTTAAATCAGCATGGGTGGGCTACCAGTTGTATGTACTAGATGTTTTGGTATCTGCCTTGGAGGTAAAGACAAACTCTTGCCTATGGTCTGATCTTCGTTGGGCTCCCCAGTAAGTAGGGTTGTGCATTCCTGCCTTGTGATCTATTGAATTTTTACGAACTAGTAGCAGATGAAGTGCAAAGCTCTCTTCCAAGATTGGGTGGGTGGGAGCAAAATATTCAAGTCACTCAATCAAATACAAGCTGCTGGCTTGCCAGCAGGTTTGGAAGGTAGGTAGACTCTAATAGTAAATAGTGGCTGCAATTGGGGGGGGTTCCAGTAGCTATCTTCAGACATCTTTGGGAAACACCAGTACTCTGTTGATCCTTCCTGAAGTGCAAAGCTCTCTTCCAAGATTGGGTGGGTGGGAGCAAAATATTCAAGTCACTCAATCAAATACAAGCTGCTGGCTTGCCAGCAGGTTTGGAAGGTAGGTAGACTCTAATAGTAAATAGTGGCTGCAATTGGGGGGGGTTCCAGTAGCTATCTTCAGACATCTTTGGGAAACACCAGTACTCTGTTGATCCTTCCTTGAGCTTGCAGTTTGCTAGCTACAGAATCTCTCAACTAGCAAAGAGTGTTAAATAAGAAGCCAGGCACTCTGCTTTTGGTCTCATGTTAGCCTGACTCTTTTATTTTTTGTTCTCCGAGTGACTTCCTGCCCATAAGTTTAATTTCAGGTTTGCTTCTCTGCTGTATCCCTGGCCTTCTGCCCTCTGCTTCTCACTCTTCTGCACAGAATCGTACTACTGCTCTCCAAGATTACACAAACAGGAGCAGAAATGGCCAGTTAAAATGGCTGTGTGCCTACCACAAGCCCCTTCCCAGACTCCCCGTTTTAAAGCCAAATCTCTTTAAATAGCTCTTAATATAAAGCATTGTGAAGTGCCACTTAAACACCTACTCTTGCAGAAAAGAATCTGAGCAACTTCAGCAATGGAGTTAACAAAGCCAGAATTGAAGAGGCACTGGTAATGTACTAGTGAAACCTTAGCAAGCTGTGGGAGGTTTGCCCAGACTGGTGCAGCATGGAAGTTGGAGGCATGTTATTTGGAGTGGCTGAGAGAGTGACTTATCCCTGGTCTTGTCTTTTTTTAAGAGAGCACAGGTATAAAACCAATATAACCTTCCATGACAACGGTACAGTTTCCTTCCTGGAATACCGGAGATTTTTCTTCCGTCCAGACCTGTCTGACGGGAAGGAAGAGGATTACGTTGTGGTGCCAAACATCCTTGTTATGGTAAGGCTGCTTTAAACTGCAGAGGGGGATTGGTTACCCTTGTATCAGCAGGTTCTGGGGGAGCTACCTTGCTGTAGTGCCCTCTATGGAAGTATACAGCCTTTGCAAGGCAGGCTGGCGCATGAATCCAGGACCAGCTGCATAGGTCTGCTGTGTCCTACAAGATATGAAGAACTTTTCTTTTTGGGGGTCTTTTGATAGCTTTGAGCAGTTTTAATTGCTAGTCTTGGGTAAGCAGGAGGGGTGAGTCTGCAAAGTGTGGGCTCCATACAAGTAGGAAGGTATTCTGTCAAGATGCAGGGGCCAGCAATTAAACGCAAAATTGAGCAATCAGGCTCAGAAAATATTGGTTGGTCATCCCTACTTCCAAAATTTGGGATTGGAGGAGGGGAGGAAGTTGTTAATTCACTCCTGCAAAAGGGCAGATGTTTAGGGGACTCAGAAATTGCCTTAAAGAGGGGAGTGGTGACAAGTAAATGAGGGATAGCCTATGAAACCTCCCTATGGTGTTGCAGCTACAGCTGAGATGGGAGTGGGGAGAAGAATCATGTCTCTTTAGCAAAGCTCTTAGACAGCACAAGGATGTAGAGGAAGCATCACCTTTAGCTCTTTGAGCTGTCTCTGGTAGAGCTGGACCTTGTCAGAGGACTTCTGAAAGTAGCTTGGGTTGTGATAATCCATAACCAAAATCTTTCCAGGGAATTACTGTGGGAGGTGCGGAACATTGACCGTAGGTCTCTAGCCTTAGTTCAGCTGGGCTGAACTTTGTTTGTGACACAATGTAAAACCAGGTGTCTCACAGGATTTGAATGAGAATTAAGCAGAAAATATTGCTGCGTATCCTGTGCATGTACTGGGCAGAGCTGGATTATGAAAGGGGCCTTTGGGGTTATAGCCTAAAGCCATGTGTTAAGAAGACCTTGGAATGCAGCCCCAAAAGCCTATGTGCTGCATTCCTGGGTGGCTGTTTGATTTGGGGGGGAAGGGTGGCTCTGCATGCAGCTGTTCCCCTTCTAGCATGGAGCCATGTTTCCATGCATTTGCCTACTGTCTTTTCCCCAGCTGCTCCCATTGGCTGGAAATTGCAGCCAATGGGAGCGACTAGGGGCAGTACCTGTAAACACAGGTTGGCACAGAACCACCTGGCTCTACCACCCTTCACCATACAGGAGCTGTGCCAAGTAAGAGCCCAAATCCCTTGCCCCTTCTGCATCCACCCTTCATCAAACTCTGCATGGGAAGCCTACTTCTGCACCCCTCATCTTTGGTCCTACCTCAAAACCTAGGGGACCCCATAAATGCTACTAGCCTTGGGTCCTCAGTTAACCTGGCCCTGGGAGTGGGAGGTAACTGCAAAAAGCTCAAGTTGAGGGGGGGAGGGAACTTCTGTGGCTTGAGGAATCCCTCCTGGAGCTTCAGTCTAGTTGGCTGAACCATGGAGCTGAAACAAGCATTCCCTGTTACTTGGACAGGTCTCATTCACTTCCTGTACCAGATGACATCCTCTTACTCCATCTTCCTCTATCCTAGGGGGCAGCCATTATGCTGGAGAAGCTACCACACTTTCTGAAGGTGTTAATAAGCGGCGCACTAGCTGGCCTGGGGCAGGGAGCTTTCATGAACCGAACAGTGGGAGAGATTATGTGGGGCTACGACGACCCACTTATCGATGTGCTGAACAACTATGTGCCTGGCTTGATCCCTTTCAAGGGGAAGTTCGGCTTATTTATGGATGTAAGTAAAGCTGTGCCTGGTAACGTTGAAACCAACTCCTAGGCTATCTTTCTGCCAATATTGCTCTCTGCAGGTAAACGTAGCACCCCAGGCTCTGTATGGCACAGTTGCTTGGAACAGGTGGGGTAAGGATCACTGTGTTTTTTCCTTGGAATGCATTGACATGGCAGCTCATTTAGCTTTCCAGTGCTCCTAGCTGTGCTCTCTACGCCCTGAGTATGAGGCACAGTTTTTTATCAAGGTTGTACAGGAAATCTACCAAGATGGGGGATAAGACCCTGGTGTTCCCTGTCTCAAAACAGTAGGCAATACTGCCCCAGTAGGGCAAGAACAGAGTATGCCCCCTAAGCACACAACAGAAAGGTGTTGAAGAGTAAATGGGTTAATAACTTGAGTCTACAGAACGAAGCTTGTGGGGCAGCAATACAGGTCTGCTGATGGGTGCGTGGGAAGGGCGACTGCTCTGGGGCCCAGCAGTTCAAAAGGGTCTGGGGACTCCCAACCACAACTGCCACTTCTGTGGCAGTGGCTGGAGTCTTGCACAGTTAGCCCTCTATGCTGTCCAGAACTCGGGGAAGGAGAGGTGCAGTGCTTGACCTTTCCCCTTCCATCTGAGGCATGGGCCCTTCTGGGAGCACCAAGCTGCCTCTCCCCTTGCCCAGAATGCTGGACTGTCTGTTGGCTCACCGGTAGCAGTGCAGCCACATTCTGACCTCTTACTGCCTATGATGGGTTTGGGGAACTTACTCTTTTCTCTTTTGTGCAGTTTAACAACTCAAATACAGGACTGTTCACAGTGTATACAGGGGCCACAGACATCAATAAAATCCACATAGTGGATACTGCCTCTCCCCTTGCCCAGAATGCTGGACTGTCTGTTGGCTCACCGGTAGCAGTGCAGCCACATTCTGACCTCTTACTGCCTATGATGGGTTTGGGGAACTTACTCTTTTCTCTTTTGTGCAGTTTAACAACTCAAATACAGGACTGTTCACAGTGTATACAGGGGCCACAGACATCAATAAAATCCACATAGTGGATACATGGAATGGATTAAAAAAGGTAAAAGTACCTTTGCTTTTTAGAA